GAGCAGAGTTTCCCTGTGTTCGGTTATGACGTGCAGATCAATTTAATTCCACCTTCTGAAGAAGATGAAAAATAGAAATAGTTATGTGTTATACTTGTGGAAAGAGCGGACGTGGAATACTTTACATTTGAACGTTATTTGCAAACGGCCTGCTAATTCAACGCCGAATAATTTAAAATTTCATCGCCTCTAATGGATATTAATATAAAGTTAAATAATTTGAAAATATTGACTGTACCATTAAGTAATTAATTAACCAATCGAATAAACATTTTAAAAGCTTTGTGTACGCACAACATTAATATTTTGTTCATTGCCAATTTTCAGAAGTATTGCATTAAAACCTAATACAATTTTTACAGATTGTATAATAAATAACATGTACAAAATTACAAATACAAACGAAGTAATTGTTGTATACAGAAAAATCGTCCTGTACCAACAACGATTCAAGGATGTACTGATACCTATAGGCACAGATACCTACCGTATATCTGTGCTATAGGTTACCTATGATGCAATATGGCTATCCAAAAAAATGCTGTACTTATTTCAATGTTTTGCGAGAATTTTCTTTTTCTAAGTTTAATACAGAAAGGGTATGGTTCTATAAATACAACGCTGATGAGACCTTTTGTTACAAACTATCAAATCTTTTAAAGCGCTTAAAGCAAAATTATGTTTAAATTTCCTTGTCACGAACCCCAAAACGCCCCTAGAAAACTTTTAAACTTCATTAACGGAATTGTTAACATCGCACGGTGGATACCTAATTGCTGTTAAAAATCACAGTGTAAAAAGATTTTCTTGTAGTACAATAATAATACCGAGAAATTCAACTTTTCCCTTAATTGCCTTTCTTCATTTTGTTCGAAATGCGCGGAAACGGAAAAATACCTCATCTTAAAAGGTGAACGCGTGTCAAGTTTCGTTTCCCTAAATCTCATGTTGCGAAATAATTAAAGGACCGCTAATCCAAACTTTATAAAGAAGGCAAGTTCTCGTATTCCTCAAGTGAAGTTGTATTTAATTCAGTTATTTCTCTGAAAGCGGTGTCGCGAAGTTTACGGTCGCAGAGTTTTTGGGCACGTGTTTCAGGTTAACACCTTTTTGCATAATTTATTTTGATGAAAGTTAATGTTGTTTCCGCAGTTTCGCCCTGTAAACTATTGGAATTTGATGAACAAGAATGGCCTTCGCAGTTGATTTAATTAACCAAATGAATAGTTGACGATACATATGACAAATACTCACTTATAACTGTATCTTTCAAGTTATTTCATCTGGGGCATTTTTCTGTCAAATAGACACACAATTAGAAAAATTTGTTCAATTGTCATTTTAATGAGAGTTTTTTATTGTAAATTTAATCGTTTAATTCTATAAGTTGTATTCAGTTTGTACGATAAATTTAAAACGGGTAACTAAGGCAACATTTGTTCGAAAATTTTTCGTGACTAAAGTTTTCTGGTCATGTGTTGAGAAAAAATTGTTATCGGACAAGAATTAACTGGATTTTCGACAAACAGCGTCACGTGCGAGATAAGCTATGCAGGTGTTTTCTCAGGTCTGACGACTTAGAGAAATTTTGAGTGTCATCGGGTTAATAACGATGTTGAATTTATTAGAGGAAGTGGCTTTTGCTTAAATATGAATAATGAGCAGTAAACTATGCTGTGTCGGGTTATTTTGAAATAGACCGTAAATGTCTGTGACGCTGATTTTGGTACCAGAAGTCCAGCCGGCTATACCCCTAGCGCCCTCATTAATCAAACTGCAAATTCATGAAAAAAAGTATCACTTTCAATACTAGTTGTACAAATAACTATTTACGCATGGAATGAAGAAATAATTGGTGTAATACAAGAGAACTCTTACTAGTTTTTTTTTTGTTTCTGAGAAAAGTCTGTCAGATTCGTGTTAAAGTGTGTGGTATATCTTATGGTAGTTATGTTGAATGCTACATTTTGATTCATCGAGTTTGTGCGACCCATATTTTCATTATAGCCCTTATTTAGCTTTAGTTGATTGCTGGTAATAGATTTCCTCTCTTTGAAATAATACCTCTTTGCCTGCTGAATCGGCTGAACTCCTTCGCAATTTGATACCAGGGTGACGAGAGAACTGTCATTCCATCTACAGAGAAACGTGGAAGAATTTTTGCAATAGCAAATGTCGTACGGAGAGATTCAGACTTCATATTGCAACACCACCCAAACCGTAGTCGCTTTCCCTGTATATGTTGTTTCAATCCCAGACTTCGAGCAGACCTCTTCAGATTTTCTGAATGATAAATCCATATCTATTTTTAAATAACGAAATTTATTCGTATACATCGAAAATATTAGCCACAACTTTTGCGTCTTGCGAATGGTTTCTGTATTTTTAAGAGCGCTAAAGGTTCTAAAAACTCATTTCTCTTATGCGATAAAATTAAACTCGAAAATTTTTACTAGTTCTGAAACGTATTTCAAATATATTCCTAAAATTAAAACCTCAGAATTTTACAAGTTCTAAAGAAATGGTAAGGACCATCATCCAATTTCTAAGTAATTAAAATTATTTTGTACATATTTTTTATAAAGTTCTATAACAGGCCAAATTTAACAAAACGTTACTTTCGGCAATTTGTCGTTTATTTAGTATTTTATCTAAATGATGAAAGCTCAACACCTCATGTCACCTTGCTAAATGCGGAATTCCCTCTCTTTTTTAATCCATTCTCTGAACTTATCACTGTCACACCACGAATCACTAAACTAAATGATACAAAATACACGATTACGAGGTCCGAATAAAAAACATCATATATTTGAAGGTTGATTCGGTTACATAACACTATTAATGTTATTCTATATTGCTTTTTTTCATGTTTGCTTCTACAAAGTTACCTAACATTGTCATTTGATTGTAGTCTTTGCGAATATTCGGATTTCGTACAAAACGTCCGAGATATTCGCAAAAAAGTTCGATTGTTTGTGTGTTTTTAAAAGGGGCTATGAATGACTAAATAAGTTCTAAAAAACTTATTTTTCTTATGCTATAAAATTAAACTCAAACATTTTTACAAATTCTGAAACGTATTTCTAATATCTTCCTAAAATTAAAACCTCAAAAGTGCGAAACAAATTCGCGTTAATATCAGCGTATGATTATTATCAATTTTATCAGACTCTCATCATCTACTAATTTACGCAATTATAGTGCCCGTGTGGTGCAGTTCAGTTAAAGCTGAACTGTGGTGCTAAGGGTCCCTGGTTCGAATCCGGGTTCAGGCATGTATATAGTGGGTTGGGTTGATAGAGCCGCCTTGGCTAAAACCCCACCCACTCAAAAATAAAATAAAATTATCTGTGCATTCTTTTAGAATGTGAATTTTTGGAAAAATAAGGATTTTCGAAATAACCGTAAGTACGGAGGCTTTTTTGTTGAACGTTTTGCTTAGCTTTATACGTAGTCATCAATAGAACTAATGCTCACACTAGAATCTTTGTTTTCTTCTTTGGTCAATTTGACATGCATAATTTGTCATTTTTTAAGAGTAGCGTACAGGTATAAAAACAAAATGTCTTAGCATGTCATTTTTACTGTATTATACTGCTTATTTAAACACAATTTTCTTTAAGTGAAGTAAATTAATTAAAATGTCAAAGAAAATAAAAAATAATTTAATTAAATTCACGAAATAAAGTGCAAAGATCATGATATAGATGAGAGATGATCCCCCACGTGTTCTGTTTATCAAGTACGAGTACCCCAGGCTATTTTATACAAAAGAACTTGTGGATCTCAAAATATTTTAGATGTTGATCATCTTTAGCTAGGCCAAATGATATGACAAATAAATCAAAACAATAGCCCCAGGCAAATTTTAATCACAGATGTGAATCGAGATGCAGGTATTTTATATGGACCAAATAATATGTCTATTATCAAAGCGAAAGCGAAAGTCTTAGGCAAAATTAATCACGGATTTATATGGAGATTATAGGCCACCAATCAAATTAATTTCGTCATAATCTATCGCATTCCATTATATAATCTCAACAATCTAAATAATCTTCGGATTAAGACCAAATTGCCAACAAATCCTATAATCCACCATCAATTCTCTGTAGATCAATTTAAATGACTTTGAACGCAAATTAGTCCGCGAATTACTCCAATAGTTGGCGGAAAAAGACCCCAACTCCATCTTACGTTATGGCACTTTTGAAAGGATGGGATAGTGCGCCATCTCGTTGAAAAGTCCTGGCTAATATTTTAATAGCAGAAAGCATGTTGTTGTCTTTGATAAATTTCGGAAGTTATTTTTACATTCGTTTCTGCAAAAGAGAGAAGCAGATTTTTCCCTTTGAGAACTGGTTTATAGGTTTCCCGAAAACGATTTTGATGAGTCATCATCTCGTAAATCGCGAATTTCAAAGTATCCTTTCACATGATCGAGAATTACATTACGTTAAAGAGAAGAATGGAAACTGTAGCAATATTTCTACTAACTTTTGTATTTTACGTTATATTTATTCCTATTTTACTGCTGCTGTATTCAAATGAGTGACATTTAAAGGCGTAAGGAGTACTTTGGGACTACTATAATAGCAATTTTTTGACATTTTCTAAATCGCAATGAAAATTCTTTAAAGGTAGAATATAATAGTATTGGATATAAACTCAAACAATAATCCTGAAAACAGTAATTTAAATAAAGTATCTGTATTTTATTTGGTATTGCAATTTCTGGGATTTACAGTGTAATACAAAAGCTATTACGTGCCAAATGAGTCGGTGCAGAATCCGCGTTCATGTTCTCAACCTCGTCAAAAGCTATTGCAAATTTTATAGTAGAAAGCATCGGTATGTTGCAAAGTACCCAGTCGTAAAAGACAAGTGCTTTAAACATTAACACACGAAACCTGTTGCGTTGGTGAAACTGATGAGACACAACTCAAATGTGACAAGCGTATAATTAAATTTAATTCGGGATTACGAAGAGGGATGGATTATACGCTTCTTATCAACTGTCAGGCATTATTACATTAGAGAGAATTAGGGCACAAGTTGAGTACTATGTCACTGAACACTTACCTTATAAATTCCTAATAGGAGAATTACGCTAAGCACAATCATGAAAAGTTGCGTTCCAATAATTGCAAGGTACGCAATTTGCACCCCTAAAAAACGTCAAATTAATTCGTAAGTATGTAAGGGTTAATTTCACATTTACCATAATAGACATCTTCTAGCACGGCGTATTTCTTGACATTAACACTAATCCTCCAACTGTACAGAAGAACGACCAGCACCGAAATATTCTGGAACAAGAGAGACAATATCTACGTAATTGCGAAATTCTCAAACAAAAAAATGTAGGCGAAATAAATGAGAATGCATCTCTATTTACTCGGCGATGCTCATATTAGGATATAAACGAAGGTAGAAATTCCATTTCCCTCCAATACCGGCAAATTAAATTGCTCGAGCAAAAACGTTTAATAAACCGCTATTTGCGACGAAAGTAAATGCCTTCTTCGGTAAGTGAAGTAATTAAAAGATTGCACGAGGGTCATAACAGGAAGCGGAATTTGCAAAGGGGAAAAATAGTAAACACTGAATGTGTTTTCCACGTTCAGCAGTACAGCTTCAGGTACAATTTTCGACTTAATTTGGATTTCGCGAAACTCTCCCCGGTCTGTTACACATTTTCCCCTGAAAATGCACGAACTAGTTTTGTTTCAAACGCATGTACTTCAGGACAAGTTACAAGGTTAGGTTATGGGATAGCATATTATGAACAAACTGGAAACTTGGGCAGCACCGGAGTTGAAATTATGACAAAGTTATAAACTCATTGGCTGGAAACGATTTTGTCAAACTACGTGACTGGAATTACAATATGTTCCTAACAGCTCTCATTAAACTTAGGATAATTTGTAAAGAATTTCCTCGCGTGATTGATGCTTCTGGTGTAATTAAGATAGCAAGTTTACGGTAAGTACGAACGACTTGCTAACGACGGTTCGATCGTAATAAAATGCCACTTGTAGGGAAAGGTGGCTTACGTGCGACGAAAACTGTGAATAAAAAATGTAAGACTGAATTTGCTTTGCTATCTTTCGATAGAACATATGTCAAAATTAATACAGAAATGAGGAGGCTGTATTTTTGCTGACAGAAATCGTCCTTGCAAACCAAGATATGCACATGCTACGATTTGCATTTGCATTTCAGATAGCGAAGGGGGACAGCTGTAAAACGAGGAATGCTTTTAAATTATTGCTTTTTGCATGTACGAGTTCTTTAAATATTTATGATGTAGGTTCTTGAAAAGGTTTTGTGGAATAACATTATATAGTCTTAAACATTTTGCTTTAATACTAAAGTGCATGTTTTTCAAGAAAGAAAACCCACTTCAATATACAAAATCTTTTTTCCTGCTTAATTTATTAGCCTCCTATACACAAAAACCCTCTCAACGCTGCGTCTCAGTTTTTTTTGTTTTTTTTTAAAGGTTGGGCATCGACTGCCTAGGTCTTGTCGCCATTCACACCCACCATGGTAAGTACTCTTCTATATTTTACTGTACATCCCTATCGATTTTAGGAATCTTAGTACGTGCTCCAAATTTCATGTGTCTGTAAGATTGGTTCTAACATCAGCCTTTATGTTGAACATATCACGCTGGTTTACATACTCTACGCAGTCACATATCACATGCTTCACAGAGAGATCGACGTCAAAAGACATGGGTGCGTGAAATTTGTGTGTCCTATTCTTAGTCGATGTATCTTTATTTGTTCCTCTCTGTGAAAGCCTTTCAGGTGTAGTTTTTCTTTAACCGATGGTTTAATACCTAGCTATTTCATTTCCACAAAAACTTACAGATTAAAAAGGACGGGTTCGTTGCGGCGACGAAGATATGTGAAATGAAAATCTCTGCCCACGGAACCCCCGTTTACGTTTTTTAGGAATGTTCCGATGCGATCGACCGACAATTGACATATCGGACGCAATTTACCACGCTAGCTACAGGTTTCGTCAACATTCGGAGATATTAAAGAAATATTGAAATGGCTAAAATTCCCATCTAGTCGCCTTAAAACGAAAAAAACGAGAAAAAAATTGTGAAAAAGCGCCTGAAAAAATTCAAAAGCATCTACGCAATACGGCACAAGAGTGGAAATAAAAACATTAACCTAAATGGGCGCAAAATGGGCACCGGTGAAATTCTTTGAGCTTTATGTTACTAAACGATTACCTTAGAGACCACCTTTCTTTGTGCTTACCATTCCTACAGTATAGTACTGTAATTTTTGGGATTATCTGTACATATTTACTTTGGCGACCGTACCGTATTTAATTTTTGTTTTTGCATTTTTACCGCACCGTACCTGTAGCTTTTGCTTTTTCTTGCACCGCTCCGTTTAATTGCAAGGTAAGCTTTTTGTGTCATTAATTATAAATGAGGGACATTGGTACGCTTTCCTGCATTTGTTTTCCTGCAACCCGCTAATTAATTTGTGTTTTGTTGCGTGCATTCCCGCTAGGGAGGTCCCCGTAATTTTGTTTTAGTTTTACCGAAGTGGCCGCCGTCATTTGCGGAACTCGGGAGATTCCTGGAGTTGCCGGTTACTCTGATTGAGTTTACCCGAGGCTTCCGAGACCGATCCGCCAAACCGCTGTTACCGGCGATCTTGACCAGGGGCGAGTCCGTAACCATAATGGGAGTCCGTCCGTCCGCCCAACCGGCGGTCTGTTTCGCCGACAGGACACCCAGGTTGCCGCCGGCTGCCGCTACTTCCGCTGCTCACATGATTTACTTACAATAACTGATATTTGTTTTTTTTCTTCTAGATTAAATTGTAATTATTATTCCAGTAACTACCCAAGTTCTTCGCAGTTAGTGACAAAACGTATTTAAATAAGTGACACAGTTTAACTCTAAGTTTACGTAATAAATCTGGGTATATCTGTTGATCAACTTCTAACATTTGAATCTGATGTTACCAAAAAGTTTAGTAAGGGATACGCCAAGTTTTCCGACATACCCACATATACATTTCAATACCTTCTACCTGCCAAAACAAACTAGAACTTGATGAATACTTAGTTTTAAATAACTTACATAATTACATTACCGTTCTAGCGTCTATTTTGCATTATCGACTGCTAAGTTAAAACATAGATTGCAAGTTTTGCAAAATTGTTACTTACGTTTTACTTATAAAATTAGTAAACAGGACCATATAACCCCCTATTATGTTAGCTTAGGACGTCTTAAACTTAGAACATCGCTTCTACCTCATGTATGCTTGCACAATTTATAATGCGTATAATTAAATCCTTATTTTCAATGTATAATTAAATTTAGCATTCTAATCTATCTACACTTGTTCATAGCTTCGTAGGTCGAGATTGCAATCCGTGTTACCGATATCTCGTCCCTATTAGTTAGAATAAGTAAGATATATTGTGTTTTAGTTACGTGATTACTTTACTCTGTCGAATTTCTCTTTTGTTTTATAAGATAATGAAATAAAATAAAATAACAAAAATTTTCTCCCGGAAAATTCGCCTATGTATAAGAACCGCTTCTGGAAGACCCTCCCCCCGGTGTTTTCGCCCCCGGAAAATTCGCACCCAGAGGAGTTGCGCGTGGAATAATAGCGCTGGCAGTATTTTCAATCCCAGGAGTTTTACCATATCACACTTCCGAAAGAATTAGAAAAATTTGTAGATGATGGCCATAAAAATTGTTTCTGTTCCCGGAATGAATCTTACGAGGGCGAAGTATCCGGGATCGAATTTACCTGTGGGTGTGTTTTCTTGGGGGCTAATATTCCGGGGGCGAGAGAAAACGTATCATATATAACTCTCGCCAGGAAAGATTTCCGGTCACAGCACGCCTTGTGTCGATTTACAATCTTTGTTTTTATTAAGATGCGAGCGACTTCTGGAATAGGATCGTGCTAATGTTGAACAAAAAGTCTTTTCGTTCAACAGTGACACGATACTATCCCGGAAGTCGCTAGCACCTTACGAAAAACAGAGATTGTAGATCGGGATCAAGTGTTCTGTGACCGGCAATCTTTCCTGGCGAGAGTTATACGTATTCCATTCCAATGTTGCCAGCCAGTATTTATTTCTTCAAATCCAAAAAATGTTGCCCCTGAATGCGATCGAATTTCTACAACTACATTAAATAATTTGTTTCAAGGGCGATCAAAGCTACTTTCCTATAGTTGTTCTTTTGGAGGTTACTACCCCCTGTGCTTGAAGAAAGTTGTAGTTAAACCATTACAAAAATCACACAGTAAACACTACAAATTTGCTTTTAGGGAGCATGAATGAATAGAAGGAATTATTCAAAATACTGATACGTCATTTGGTTGTGTTTCTGGATGTGGCAAAAGCATCAGAGATATCATGACTAATACTTCAAAGAAGAAAATCTACGTAACACAAAATTAGGTTTAATGATTTTATGTTTTATGTGGGGGCGTAAAATATTTGTTAAATTTGTTCTTGTATTGCCATAGTGATGCATTTGTTGAAAAGTGGCATAGTTAGCTTTCGAGCCAATGCCAATGCAGATTTTTTAAATTTTATATATTATTTAGTATTTCTACATTTCGCCAGACTATATTGCTGGTTGTTGATGTAGGATGTCCCGCAGAACCTGCTATATCTATATAGTTTGCAGTCTGTATAAGTAAAAGGAATGTTTGTCTGTCTGTATGTCCCTTATGCCTTCCTAAACCGTTCATCCAATTGAAATGAAACTTTGGGGAATTGTTGAACGTATGCCCGCGAAGGTTTCTGATTTAACAAAACACTTCCCGAAATTCCAACGTTTTGTTCTATTTTTGACCTGCTATGTTATATACACTTTTACATGTAAACCTTTTTTGACAATTGTAAGTGCTTTGCACCCTAACATGAACTTGAATAAATAAATAAATAAATAAAAAATAATTGAATCATAAACTATACATAATGGAATTATGTATGGAATAACTTATCGGAATAGTGACTCAACGGTTCGGTTCGTTTCGGAATATGCGAAAGAGTTCCTCATGTTTTGGTAGAGAATTATTTAGTTTCCTTAAGGAGAGGCTCTATACAGGCTGTTTGAACGCAAACCGTTAGCTAAAACGTTTCAGGCTCTCATTGATAATTTAAATCTGAAAATTTGCATACCAACATAGCTTTTCATGATCTATTGAAAGAAGGAATAATCATGGTAGTTTCACTTTCGGTTTTATCGAATATGGACAGCAACTTTCTTTTTTAAATAGAACACCCTATATTAGAT